GCCTCGATTCCGTGTTTTGAACCCCAGAATTGCAGGGATTGATGGCAGCAGGACACCAGCACACTCATCTGGGCCCATCTGTCTGAAAGGCCAGGAGACCTCTGCATGCAACGACATCTTCCTCGCCTTCTCGTTGGGAGGACAAGGCTGATCCACCCCTCTTCCTCTTCGGCGTGCTCTCCGCCCTTGTTTAAATGCTATCTCTGGTCTTTGCATAGCTGGTGTGAAAATATCCACTGACAAAGTGCTCCAACAGAGAGCACTGTGTTGGGTTGTGAACATTTTCCTAGCAATCAAGATTGAGTGTATTGCACAGGCTACGTACACTTTGCATTCTTTGGCACTTCATTGTATCGAAAGATACATGATAATGTAACAGCTCACCTGGCATACGAATCTAACGACACACAGAGTCATCAAGAATGTGAATGGGAATATAGCTGGGTGATTTGCCAGGACATCACTTTGTACCTTTTACCCAGTGCAAAGACATTGAGGAGTTGCTTTGGGGAAAGTCGCATCTCCAAACCAAATGGCATAGCTTAAGGGTGATTTTTATAAAAGCAAGGGGCTTCAGGTAAGTTTCAATGGACAAAACAAAAAACATACACATTCTGGTCTGCCTTAAATTCAACTTTTGAATCCCATTCCCAAAGACGCCCTTAAAAAGGAGCCCCGTAATGTAAGATGAATGTTCTGGTTACATGAAGTTTAAGTGAGCTTTTTTACATAATCCTGTTCCACTTCTACTTTACTTATTTACTCTGAATGGCGTGCACTTTTCTCTGTCGCTGCTTGATTGCAGCTGTCAGCTACTCCTTTGAAGCTCCCCAGGTAGACGATTTGATGACTTTGCATGTAGACTTCTGACTTTCATGCCAGGCAGCCCAGAGTGCAGTATAATTTAAAATATTAACAGCAACACTTGTATTCCATCAAAGTAAAAGCACAATTGCAACAGAGACTTTTAAGCTTGGTTTAACATGAAGTTGCCAAATTGAATGTCTGAGCAGCACGGAGATTAACAAAAAGAGAGAAAAGAAACTAAGCACTTCTAGTACAGAAAAGTTTGGCGCTGTGAAAGTAAGAAAAAAGACCAGTGGAGAAATAAATTTTGCAGAGCGGTGTGATCTGGGATTTCTCTGCCAATCCTGTGCACTTGGTCTAAAAAATCCCGTTAAAAAACAATTCGGTTTTTAAGAATTTTATATTCCTGTCGCACATAAAAACACAATAAACACAAGAACTTTACGATTTAATAATACTTGAAATGGTATACATCCACACTGCAAACCCAACTGCATGCGTTTTTCGTGAGCTAATGAGATCATTAATCATTTTAAAATCCCATTGTTCCAACTACAACACCGCTGGTGATTTTTTCTTAGATAAGTTCTCAATTGGTATCACAGTGTTGAGAGGAGTTCTCGACCTTCTGTTTTCCACAGACTGTCGCCTTCTCACTTCCCTGCTCTCCACAGATCTCTCGGGTGACAATTCAAAAATAATAAAAAAAAGAACCGTCCACCTTTTCCTAAAAATGGGAGCCGACCGCGGCAGATTAAAGTCTAGCCCCGTTCCCCTAGTTTGCAGACAACAAAGGCAGGTGGGTCTCGGTAAGATAACTCCTCTTGGTCCAGTTACTAAGGGGTCGGGCTTCAGAGGTCAAAACGTAACCTGAGCTACCTGAGGTCAACAGAGGTGCCACCCCTAAAGACAATAGCTCTCCATTATGGAACCCTTCTCAAGTGGACAGGATTGGAGATAGTCTCAGGACCAGAGAGATGGAAAGATTAAAGGGATTGGGGTCTTAACCCTCTCATCCCTTGTGTGGGTGGTCTTTTTCTGGGGGGGGGTTCATTCACTCGGCTGGGTGTGTCACCGCAGGGCTCATGCACAAGACTGGAGTTCTGTTTCGCTTAATGAGGTAATGAAGCTTAATGTGAATTTTACACTCGGCTTCCTAGAAACACACCCCTCCCCCACTGTGTCTGCTCTTGTGTCTGTAAGCAATAGCACATGTATATCTTGACTCTGTACGCCACATCTCACAATTATAATAGCGCATGGGTGTGGGACAGATTGCGAAGCGAAAAGACTATACCTATAGTCAAGCCTGAGTCACCCTGGTTTTACTACCAAATGGACGTGTTTAGAACGAGGATTTATTCTAATTGCAGCAAATCAATGGAGCGTCGAAGAGAAGAGCAGGGCGTGTCTCACAAAGTACCTTCAACTCATATGCCAGTTTTAGCATGTTTTTTAGTCCTTTTCGCTCAGACATTATAAACGCGGTCAGCCTTCTCTACACTCGGAACAGAAGCGTGTTAAGCTTCTACAGGACTCGACAGAAAACCCGATCTGTAAACCTGTTTTTATTTTGTGTGTTCACAAATACAGGCATGTGGACATATAAAACTGTCTTTTAGTGTGAACACTTCATTAAAAAAAATCCAACCTAGCCTTTTAAGTCTGCAAAATGTTGGTTTCATCACCTAGTACTCGTGTTAAGTTTACGTCTACCCCTAATAAAACATTTATACGTCCAACCCTGGGTTTAAGCAGATTGCACGTAAACTGTTTTAACACTGCTAATCTGGATTCCCTCCCCTGCCTGGTTGCTGCGTGACTGCCTTGATTCACAGTCACACTGCGGTTATTTGAACTGATCTCCCGGAAAATAGTCACGACATCCAAGAGCTCAGATTTGTAACGCAGAGCCTTGGCGTGAGAGCAGCCCGAGCGCTCCCCGCGTCTCTCATGCAAATCGATCTGTGCCTGGCTGTCACACACGCACGAGAGCCGTAAAAACCCCCAACTGCACTGGTGTGCGATCAAAGGACTCTGTTTGAGTTTATTCTTGATTATGAAGGGTGGGAACACTTCAAACTTACGGCTAAGTAAGTGGGGGCGTCTAGTTTAGTCGCTGTAAACCTCAAGCAGAATTCACCCATTGGGAGCTACAGTAAGGCGTTTTCTGCCTCAAGACACACGCTGTTCTACGCGCAATGAAACTCTTTGTTTCCCCCAATTTGCTTATTCACATTCGGTTTTAACTTCTGATTAAAATATCTCGTATTTCCTTTTTATCTTGGGGGGGAGAGCGGATCACACACGCGGTCTGTGTGACTCCCTCAGCGTTTTCCTGGCTGTCGGAGTGTGTCAGGTGTCCGAGAGGGTGGGGTGAATATTTTATATCTGCTTTTCACGAAACTGATAAGGCAGGAGCAGCACAGTCACGCTATTACCATTTGCTGGTGTGAAGCGGAAGGGGTCAAACGTGAGATGCGATATCCCTCCTGTCGGTTTTGATTGATTTGTCCGACGAGCCGTGCACGCGAAAACGAACAAGACAGATTTGCGTGCAGACGGCGATATGACCCATTTGGTGTTTAGCTTCCAGCAGACAGAAATGCTTGAGGTGGCGGAAAGGGCTCTGGTTTGCAACTGAAGAGTTTACAAAGAAGCCGGTGATGGCACGATACGAGAGGGTCCGAGTAATAATTCGAAACGGGGGTCCGCGTATTTTCAAAGTATTAGGGGGATCAAAGTAATGCACATTATTTTTCCCCCCTTTTCCTTTTGTCCTGACCGAAATGACACTAACATACGATCACCAACTGTGGGCTTGAGCGGCCCGGGCGCAGAAACAGCCCCCGGGACTGGTTATGGACGGTGCTTAGTATCGCACCTGGGAAGTTATGTCGGCCCTTGTAAAAAAAAATAAAAGAAATAAATAAGTGTTGATTCATTTTATCCAGTCTGATTGGATTCGAGTTTTTTTTTTCTTCCCTCGTTGGAGGTCCTCAAAGACAAACGCCGGCTCTGTGGAAAACTCGAGTCTGTCGGTAATCGCCTCTACACGGGGGGTAGTTCCCCCGCTGCGCGCCCCAATTTGCCTCGCTCCGGGGGGTGCAGGAAGGAGTTCTCCGTGCCGCCGGGAGAACGTGCTCTTCTCCAGCGGACTGTGAAGCGGAGCAGATCGCCGTGTGCGGGGGGGTGGGGTAATTCGTGCTACTGCTTGTTCGCGAGTTGGCCTTAATCTCCCCTCCCTCCCGCGCGAGGATTCCTCATTGACATCGCACGCGGCGCTGCCGACGCCCCCCCCCCTCCACGAGGCGGAGAGCGTCCGCCGGCCCGCCGGGTCGTGTCTGGGGCTTGTCTTGTTCAAACGAGCCGAGAGGTGAAGCGGCAGACGAGATCAGACCGCTTCATGAAACCGTATACAGCCTGGAATATTTTAGCAAGTAATTATCATTTTTATTTGGAAAAAAAAAAACCCCAACAAATACCCTGTGATTTCAAGTACATCCATGTCCTTGAAAGCAAACCTCAGTGCGGCTGGTGTGATTCGGGTTTCCCATTAATAGTCTTATCGAGGGGGGGTTCTGGAAACGAGAGCCCAGTGCGACCTCTGACAGCAGGTTTGACTGCACGCAGGGGCGCTTCGTATACCAGAGACGGAAAGGTCAAGGGTTCGAGGGTTGGATCTGCCTTTGTCACACCTGCCCACTGGTATGGCGTCGGCTTTCGCCGTGAAAAGGGAAACAGGAGGCTGCTGCTGCCGTGTGGGTGACGCGGAGCTGTCCTCGCTGATGAGTAAGGGCTGTGTCTTGCACGACTCATCATTGACTGGGAGAGAACACGACACGCACACCGCGCCGCGTTAACCCACATCCACACAGTCCTTGGGCGGAGAGTAAAATTAGAACAATCATGGGGGGGGG